AATCAAAACAAAAAAAATTTAAAGTTTTCCCTCGCAGAATCTTTAATTAAACCGAGTATATAAATAGCCCGTAAAAATTGACGCGAAAAAGAGCAAAATGATCTCTTTTTCGCGGCAATGCAAAACTTCTTTTTTTAAAATAAGTTTTGCGTTGCACAATCCTTTACCCAGCCGGCACAACTCAGAAGATAGTTACGCTTGGTTTCTGTTGCGTTTTTAAAACCTTCTAAAACAAAACAAAAAAACACGTATCAAAAATGGTTTTTATTCCGTGAAATTAACTATTACTATTTACCATAAATACCACCCTACCGGCACATCTAGTTTCTTTTTCGGAAATAAAACCTATATAGACACGTGTTTTTCACGATCCAGGCGTAAACCAAAAGCACGTGTATATTACAGGCAGTTTTACTAGAGTTTAACACGTGTTTTTGAGGCTTTAAAAGTCAAATTTAAATGTTGCATGTTTTTATCAGTGGTTTCACATTCCTTACGGAAAGTTATTACAATATAATACTACGTTTTCATAACGGTGAAACCATTAATACTTTAACTGGTATTTATGGTAAATAGTAATAGTTAATTTCACGGAATAAAAACTATTTTTGATACGTGTTATTCTTTTTGTTTTAGAAGGTTTTAAAAACGCAACAGAAACCAAGCGTAACTATTTTCTGAGTTGTGCCGGCTGGGCAGTTAAAGTATTAAGGTTTAACCGTTATGGAAACATAGTATTATATTGTAATAACTTTCCGTAAGGAATGTGAAACCACTGATAAAAACATGCGACATTTAAATTTGACTTTAAAACCTCAAAAAACTCTAGTAAAACTGCCCGTAATATACACGTGCTTTTGGTTTACGCCTGGATCGTGAAAAACACGTGCTTATATAGGTTTTATTTCCGAAAAAGAAACTAGATGTGCCGGTAGGGTATGGAGTTCTATTATCTTAAAATTTAACCACGTAATTAAAATAAATGCTTTATTTCAACTATCTAATAAGTTTTGCGTAAAATAAAGATTTACAAATTATACAACACTTCGGGCCAAAGAGACCGCCAGATTTTATGTCGTGTCAATAAAATCAAATTCCTTTTATTTAAGAATATTTGTCTTAATAAAAATTAAAAAATTTTATTTAAATATTCCATTACAAATTTTTTATATAAAAGAAAGTTCTCGAAATCTCTGGATATTCTTTTATGTTTTTCGGCTTTACACCACTTTTTTTCCGGGTTTACTCGTATTTTTTTCCGACTACTTGCTTCACTTATGACAATAAAAAAACATTTTTAAAAAAGTAAATGCAGAATTAAAAAAGCAACAAACATGCAGCAAAATGTCTTCCACAAATAAAACAAAGAAAAATGATTTTAAGCTACTCAAGCTCATATATAATAAAACTAACATGTTAAGACTAACAAGCAAAAATATTTTTAGTAAATTTTGATAAATTTTTTTTTCGGAAACGTCGTATAAATCTCTTATAAAACAGTTTTTTGTAAATTTTTAGAAAGTTTTATTTACAAAGTTGTATTGAATCATCTAAACAAATGTGGTTTCTAAAACAGCATGAATTTGTTAAACAAAAGTCATGTACTACAAACTTGCTAGTATCTGTGGACATCATAACGCTGCTTACAATAGTAAGGCTTATTAAACATGGGTTTTAAAAAAGCTTTTGAAAAAGTATCACATAAGATAATATCAGCCTATGGTATTAAAAGATAGTTGCTAGCTTGGATTAAAGGCTTTATAACTGGAAGAGTGCAAAGAGTAATTATGAGTGAAAATATATCTAATTGGTGTAAAGAATTTAGTGGAGTGCCACATGTTTACCTAACCCATGAACTTCTGAACTCAAACTATATGCTGACGACAGTAAATGATTAAAGCATTTTAAAATGAAATGATTAAAGCATTTTAAAAGCACCAAATCAACATAATTTGTTTTCAATAATTCTTTACGTTGCAATTACTAAAACTTATAAAGGGTTATCATAATTTAAGAAACCAACATTGTAATACAACATACCCTTAAAAACTTTTTTCTACATCTTTCTTTAATAAAATAATTTTGATACCATCAAAATTGATGTCAGAATAAATATCAACGAAATTTGAAAACTTCTACCAATAGTTATTTACAATAGTTACAAGCTAACTTTTTAGATAAGTTTTTAAAACTATATTTAGTTAAAATACCTGTCTATGCTTTTTCTTTTTTTTCTGATTCACTCCCAACCAGGCTGCAAGCAACCACTTTTAAGTTAGGAGTTTTTTTTTTTTTTTTTTTTTTTGTTATTCACCTCCTCAAGTCCGAGAAGGCCACTACAGACGAGGAGGCTACTTAATAGTGGTTATAACCCTCTCTCAACTCTATAAATCTTGCCCCCAATTTTTTTCTAGAGAACTTTTTAAGAAAAGATTTTTTAAAGAAATTTTTTTTAGATAAAGAGGACTTTTTTCACAAATTAATGATTTACCCGCTTTATCCAAATAAGTTAAACGCATATAAGTATAAGAACAATCATTATACTTATTTTAAAAACTTTTTTTTTTTATCATATAAAAAAAAAACTTAATTAAAATTAACTAAATTAATTGACATATTCCAAAACTAATTATTGAATATTGTATTGTCATCAAGCAAGAGTATGTATGCAAAACTTGAAGGAAATCTATCATCAGGAAGTGAATCAAAAATATATTGCAAGATTTGATGCTTTCAGACAAACAAAACAAACTGACAGAGACAACGAGGTAATAAAAGCATTAGTAAAAAAAAGATAGAGTTATAGAGTAAGGAAACGGTTGACAGAGGACTTAAAAAGTTAAAGGTTTGATAATTCAGGAAGATGAAGTCCCAAATACGAAAACAGTATTCCATACAGGGAATACTGTTTTTGAATACTGTTAATCTAGCAATCGATTGTATATATAGTTTCCATGAAAGGTCAGTATTAAACAATAATCCAAGAAGACGTATAGAAGAGAACTCAGTGAGAGTGTTGCCATTTGTTAATAAAGGAACGTTGACAGTACTGAGATAGTTGTTTGCAGTAAATAAATGAGTTTGTTTGAGATAAGATTTACAAGTCACTGCATGCCCCAATCTGCCACAGAAGTGATATCAGATTCAAGAATGGCTACCTTTTCTTAGCGATCGAAAAGAGAAGATTTTTTGTCAAACCAGGAGTATAAAGTTGATCAAAAATAGCTACTTTAGATAAAAGGTTGACAAAAAGATCATTTATGTAGATTAGAAATAAAACAGGACTAAAGATAGAACCTTGAGATATCCCAGAAGTTACTGGTAATAAAGAAGAGTGTAGGCCTTTGAAAATGATTTAAATAAAACAGTTAGAAAGAAATGATTTGAAAAGATCAAAAACTTATCGTTATTGAAAAATTTTTTTTTTTAATATAATATACAATATTTCTAGGAGTTACCCTCGAATATATGCCCTCGTTATTCAAGTGATTCAACCTGAATAAAAGGGTATATATAACGCCTAGAAAGATTGTAAATTGTATAAACAAATACAATTTACTATAAACAGATGTTTTACTTCAATTTTACCGATAGTTATTCTCTTAAATTTTAAAGATTTTAATTAGTCATTTTTTAATTACTATATATGTATGTTTGCCTTGTTTATTTCAAGTAACTTTTGAGGTACCGCAAGGATCTACTCTTAAACTTCTATTGTTTCTTATCTAAATTAATTGTCATCATGGCAATCTTAGATTTAAAGTGGCTTTATTTGCTGACAATTCATCTTTATAATTCTGTCCTGACAAGAAATATTCTTTTTTCGATTGCTTATAACTGGGAACTGATTTCGAATCTAATCTCTCACCAATAACTGCTTGGAGCTTGCAGTGGACTGTTATTTTTAACTCTAAAAAATCTCATTTATTTACTGCAAAGAGAATCAAATGATTTTTTCGTTTTTAATCAAATTGTTTTCAAAATCAAATCATTTTGACATTCCTATATTATTAAATAGCAACCCTTTTGCTAAGTCCTCTTTTTTATGTCTTCTTGATCTGTCATTCACTAAACCATTTATACAACCAAAAGTTAGCATCTACTAAGGTTGCTCCTCTTTTTCGTAGTCGTCATTAACTTGCTCCTGATTACACTCTATACCTCTGTAAATTTCTTAACCATCCCTGTATGGAGTATTTCTGTCATATTTAGGCTGGTTCTTTAAATAATGCTCTTTCTATGTATAGTCCAAAAAAACCCATTGTAAATTTAATTAGACCTGCTCCATCTTAGAAAATAGGCAGGTCTAATATAATTTCTTATTGTCTTAAAGTTGTATCTCTTTCTATTTTCTACAATTAATATTATGGTTGTTGCTCAAGCAAACTATTATCTCTATTTCCATTAAGCAAAAACTCATTTTCCCTTGACTCAGAACTTTTTAAGTCTTCTGTCAACCGTTTCTAGGCACTTTAAAACTTTTTTATGTTTTTTATTAACTTTTAATTTAATAGTAATTGCTTACAGTGTTGTATGGAGTGAATCAGTTTAAAAAACAACAACTGTTGAAACACAAAATTATTTCGAGCAATCTTATTTGCCGGGCATACATACTAGGAGTTCTCCTTTGTAGACAAATTCACATTTTAACACCTACATATTCAATATCTGGTAAGATTGATTTTGATTTGATTTTAAATTCATTAAAGCCCAGTAAGCACATGAACGTTTTTAAATCGTTTTTTAACTAAAAAATTTCTAAAAAACGTTTTTGAAAAAGCGTTTAAAAAACGTTTTAAAAAAGTTGTTAAAAAACGTTCTAAAAAAACGTTTAAAAAACGTCTTTTAATAACCCAAATTAAACCATAAAAAAACGTCTTCTGAACGTTTAAAAGACGTTCTTTTTCAGAAAATATTCCCAAATCTATAGGTACTATTATTAAATTGTTAGAAAGAACATGTTGGTTAAAAAAACAAGAAAAATAAATAATTTATTTAAATGTTATTTTTAAATTTATTTTCTAAAACAATTTACAAACCAAGTAATATCGTAACGATGATATCTGTTGGATTTAAGGCACTTTAACACGAGCAAAAGTTACCCGCTTTAACGAATCAGTATTTATTGCATCGACAATCGACTCTGTGTATGATTCGTGAGCAGTCGATGCACAAACTAAAAGAATAAACTACATACTTAAAACAGACAATAATATGATAAATCTGAACAGTAATAATAGTATAATAATAATAATAGTAGTAAGTTTTTAAATTAGAAACGTTTTAAAAATATATATATAACTTCATAATACACGCAAATAAAAAGTATATTAAATATGTATATATATATATACACACACACACACAAGATCAAGGAATTTTTTTTTGAGGCTTAAATATTTTTGTATCACATAGCATATATTTATATATATATATATATATATATATATATATATATATATATATATATATATATATAAAAATATATATATATATATATATATATATATATATATATATATATATATATATATATATATATATATATATATATATATATATATATATATATATAAATATAAATATATATATATATATACACACACACACACACACATATACAATAGCGGCATAAAGTCATGAGCACAGTTGAAAAACAAGAGAATTCATTTTTGGCACAATATAAAATAAAAAAGCACCACATTGAAATAAAAATGGATTCTGCATTGTCAGTAATAAGCGCCACTAGTAAAACATAGGAAATTCTGACTATAAGACTAGTATTTTGCATACCCTCCATAAATATTTCTAAATATTTATCCTGGTTTACCGTGCTTGTACAACAATATAAATGACCTATACCTGATCCTGACATGCAACCCCATACCATAAGAGAGCCTCCTTTATGTTTTATTGTGTGGGCTACACACAGAGGACTAAATCATTTACCAACTCTTCTTCTCAAATAAGCTCTTTTAGCTCCACAGAAAACAGTAAAGGTACTTTCATCATTTCATAACACTTTATTCCATTCTACGACAGTCCAGGTTTTGTACATCTTCGTGAATGGTCTTCTTTTCGCAATGTTATAAGGTCGCAATAAAGGCTTCTTCGCAGCATTTCTTCCATTCAAACCAGTATGCTGCAGGCGTTTTCTAACTGTCCTTGCTGCCAGATGAACTTCATGGTTTTTTCCTATGTAGCTTGCAAGATCTGAAGCCTTGGCAAAATGATTGGATTAACCAATCAAAATCAATCCTGCTCCTGCGCTCGAATCAAAAGCCGATCCTGCTTTGTGGTAGTTTTTGAGATCCGTATACAAGGCAAACGCACCAAGCCCATTATGGGCTGTATGAAGTTATGTACACCACTATTTAGTATTTAAAATTTTCTATCATTTCTATCACACCAATTTAATAAACCAATTATTAAAGAGTTATTAAGATTTATAATTTCAACTATTACACAAAAACTTATCATTTTAACTATTATGCAAAAACTTATTGGTTTATTATCTTAATAAATAAATAAATATATATATATATATATATATATATATATATATATATATATATATATATATATAGTATATATATATATATATATATATATATATATATATATATATATATATATATATATATATATATATATATATATATATAATATATATATATATATATATATATATATATATATATATATATATATATATATATATATATATATATATATATATATATATATATATATATATATATATATATATATATATATATATATATATATATACCAGTAATATAAGTAATACTTCGGTAGACAGTGCTCAATACAAAAGTAGAGCAAATATTTATTATATTAAAATAATAATAAAATTAAGCTTGTAACATAACTCAGAGTTTCACGCTATAAGCGGTCACCAGACGTTACAAACCATAACAATAACAAATATTATATACAAAAAATATTGTATTGTATTTTTGTATATAATTTTTGTTGTTGATATAGTTTGTAACGTCTGATGATTGCATATATAGCATGAAACTCTGAGTTATGTTACAAATTTAACTTTATTATTATTTTAATATAATATAATATATATATATATATATATATATATATATATATATATATATATATATATATATATATATAATATATATATATATATTAAGGAAGCTCTTAAAACTTTTTAATACAAAAACACAAGGCTTAAAATTTTTTTTGAATAAAAAATATTTTAAGGGGTCCCGCAAGACCCTGAAATGATTAATTGGTCCCTAATATTTGAAAAAAAAAAAAAAAGTTTTAAATATGTCAACCAGGTACTCAAATGAAGCAAAATTATTTAAAAATTTCAAAAAAAATATTCATTCTTAAAAAAAATTGAACTTTTTGGTTTTACTACTTAAAATATTGTTTTTTGACAAAAAATAAAAAAAATGCATTTTTTTAATGTTTTTTTATGATAATTTCAAAATAAGTTAAATTTTTTTTTAAATAAATATATTTTTAAAAATTTTTATATAATTTTGCTTCATTTGAGTACCAGGTTGACATATTTTTTGAAAACTTTTTTTTTGAAATTATTAGGGACCCATTACAGTAGTGTACACTGGTTTTTTAGATGTTTGAATTTTGACACTTACACGCATTTTGCAAACTCCAAACTTTTGGATGTTCATACTTATGTCAAATAAGAATGTTTTGCAAAAATTTGTGGAGATTGGAGCTTGGGGACAAAAAAAACCTAATTTTCGAGCCCACCCAGCCCTTAACGTGGGAGCAACAAGTTGATAAAATAATTTCTTTAGTATTTTTATTTAAGTTTATATTCATCAATGAATTTCAAATTTCATGCAATAACCTCTTAGTTTTTAGTTTTTATGACCCTACAAAGTTTACAGCCCCCTCAAATTGAGGGGGGTTAAAACTTTATATGGTCATAATTTACGAAAAATAAGAAATTATTGAATGAAATTTGAAATTTGTTGATGAATAAAAACTTAGATAAAAATACTAAAAAATTATTTTATCAACTTGTTGCTCCCATGTTAAGGGCTAAGTGGGCCCAAAAATTGGGTTTTTTTTGTCCCCAAGCTCTTATCATCGCAATTCTTTGCAAAAGATTCTCATTTGACATATACGTGAACATATAAAAGTTTTGAGTTTGCACAATACCTGAAAGTGTCAAAACTCAAACATCTAAAAGTCCAGTCTACACCACTGCATTAAATACTCAAGGGTCTTGAGGGACCCCTTAAAATATTTTTTATTCATAAAATCTTTAAACTTAGTGTTTTTGTCTTAGATAGAACACATTTAGGGGGTGGGAGCAGGTTTTTCTCAAAAGAGTTGTTTTAAGAACCACCCTAATATATATATATATATATATATATATATATATATATATATATATATATATATATATATATATATATATATATTAGGGTATAGTGATTTTCATAACAAAAAACCTCCGTTTTGTTAAAGGCAGGTTTTTATTAAAGACAGGTTGAAGACCGGTTTTTTATAAAAAAAAAAAACAATTTTATTTTTCAGTTTTGAATCAAAACAAATATCACTTTCAAACTAAACATTTTATTATTAAACGTACCTTTTATTAAGTTGTATAGCTTGGTTAGACTAAAAAGATCCTTTTGTCTTTTCCAGCTGTCATTTTAAATTTGGCCATGAGTGAATTTGTCATAAAACTAAAAATACCATAACTTAATAATATTGTATTTTATAATTTATGAAATTATAATTAACAACTGTATTTAAAAATGTTTCTCTTTATCTCATAAAATCTAAATATTTAATTAAATTTAACGATACAGTTTATCTATTAATTATTATTATTTAAAAAATAGCACACTAACCATTAGTGTAGTCCAGATCATTAGTGTACACTAACTATTAGTATAGTCATATATATGAATATTGTCTGGGTTAAAAAAATTGTCTGGAAAAGTATAAAGCCATATGATAACCTATAGCTTTAAACTTGCAAACTGGCAAAGGCGTGAATTGGCATAAATGCGCCAAACAAGTTTGCAAACATTACAAATAGGCATAAGTGCAAAATTTGAATAACTACAAAACAAAAACAAAAACTGGTAGAAGTGCGAACTGACATAAGTGCGCGTAAAAAATTTACAAACATTAGAATAAGTGCAAATTGGCATTTTGCCCTTAGGCTAGTTTGCAGTTATGCCAGTTTGCACTTATGGTAATGTTTGCAAATTTATTTGGCATACTTATGCCAGTTCGCATTAATGTCGTTTGCACTTTTGCCTGTTTTTGCAACTGTTTCGCACTGATACTAGTTCCCACCTATGGCAATTCACACTTATGCTAATGTTTGAATATCTATTTAGCGCACTTATGCCAATTCACACATATGCCAGTTAGCACTTATGCAGGCCTTGCGATAAAGCGTCGGGCAATGTGAATTTTACGTCGTCCAAAAGCGATTTTGCGTGTAGCTAGGGCTATTTGCGTCGAGCAAAAAATTTTTTGTTTGAGTATATTTAAAGATATTTTTGAGCGGAATTTTAATGAGGTAATTTACAATTATTTTAACATTTTAAAAACCGCACGCAGTTGAAATAAAAGTTTGAATTTAAAAAAATTAAATATGCTCATTATTTAAGTAGAAAAAATTCAAAAATTAAAAAAAAAGTTTAAATCTTTTAAGCTAACATTTAATTAAAATTATTCAGCAATAGCAAAGTTGTCGATAAAATTGAACAAAAATACTTTCTTTTAGTTTTAGATTTTAAACTTAAATAATTATTTTACGGGGGTTTGTTAGGTTTTAAAATTATTCCATAGATTTAAAAATATTTATTAACTGTTAGACGTATTTAAAGTATTTAAGAGTAATTTCGTTGAAACATTTTAAAAATTGGTGAGGACAAATAAAAAAATAAAAAAGGATTATTATTAAAACGTATTCTACTTGATTCAATAAAAAAGTACAGTTATTAAAATTTTTGTAAAAAGTAACTCAAAAAAATTACTTAAATAATAACGATCGCTTTTATGTTAAAAGTCAACGAAGTGTGCTCAAGAACAGCTGCTGAAAAATAGAACGTCAATAGTTTTTCGAATAATTTATAAGAATAATTTTTAAGAATAATTTTTTCGCTGAAATATTTCTTTTATACCTATTAGATTTTTATTCTAACATTTTATTTTATTTTACTAGAAATAAAATTTCTTGTTAACATTAAAAATTATTCAAAACGTTCGTTTAAGTTTTTTATTAATACGAGTGATTGTGCTTATCAACCGCTTTTTGAAAATAAATAAAAATAAATAAATAAATATTATATAAAACCGCTTGTAAAAATATTAGCTATTGCACAGTTTTTAATCGTACAATATTAAAATTTCCAGTTTATTACTCGCTGACTTTTTAAAAAAAAAAAAAATCAAATATTAGCATATTTTATAATCTTTTTTAAATTTAAGTTATAATGTTTTTTATTCGTTTAGTATAGACAAAACGCGACAAACGTCGAGAAAATAAATAAATGTTTTTACATTTTAAAAAACGAAACATTCCAAAACATTTTTAAATAATAACATTTCTACATAAACGATTTAAAGTAGTTTTGTGATAATTAAGTTAATTGGTGCAGTTAATGTTGATAAATATGAAAAGCAAATAAAAAGAATTTAATGACGTCAAAAATCACGTCATGCTTATGCGTCGCGCAGTTCTTATTTATCGCAAGGCCTGCTTATGCCAGTTTCTGTTACTGTGTCAATAACTGCACTTATACCAATTCGCACTTATGTCAATGTTTGGAAATTTGTTTGACGCACAATGGCAATTTGCACTTATGCCAGTTCACACTTATAGCAGTTTGCACTTATGCCAATGTTGGGAAATTATTTTTTGCGCACTTATGCCCATTTGTACTCATGCCACTTGGTATTGTGCCTGTTTTTGTAACTGCTTTTCACATGTGCTAGTTTGCACTTATGCGAATTCGCACTTACGCCAGTTCGCACTTATGAAACAAGTGTATTGTAGGATGGGAGTAATATCATTATAAACTTAAACATTTATAGAAATGCACTTTTAATTTACTAACCTCTTCATCATAGCTATCACAAGTTTTTGACAATTCTTAGCACCAATATTTTGAACTTATCAAGTTCTATTAGGCTGTTAATTTCAGTTACTACTTCTTGTTCACACTATTTTATATTAAGTTTTTTGCATCATTGGGTTTTTATCTCATTTAAGAAAAGCAACACACAATATTGAAAGTCTAAACAAATTTACAATAGTTAAATTTTACATAGTCTTAACAAAACTACATAAATAAATAAAATTAAAATACATAAATTTAATAATTTAATAATTCTAACCCTAAATCAGAGAAAAGCTAATAGACAGTAAAATACTTGATTGTGGCAATGCTAGTTTTTGGTATAGCCACAATAAAGTATTTTACTATATATTACAATTTTTCTCTGATTTAGGGTTTTCTCAGATTTAGGCGAGAAAGATTGTTCCATAGATTTATAGTTTTGATAATATTGAAATAATGGATTTCATGCAGGTGAATATTTAAAGTTAAAATTGAAACCTCATCATTTCAATGATATTTTTCAATATTGACAGTCATGTTAGAATTTTACAACAAACATTACATTATTATTTTTAACTAAAGACTTACTTGCTTGAGATAATGAAAATCCATTTTATTTATCCTTTTTATTTAAAGGTGATGAAGATTGATGTGTCTTAAAATGAATCGCTCGGTCATCACAATAAATATCATCTTTATCTATTATTTTTGACCTACAGGACACAAGCATAGAGAATATTTGAGTTTCATCTAACAACTTGTTTTCTCATTTAGCAATTTTACAATTCAAAAAATTTTTACAAATTACTTTACAGATTATTAATTTTAAAAGTAAAATAGGGTATATAATATGGTATATAATATTATACGTTTCATACTACCAAATAATTGGTAATAACACCAGAATATCATTAAAGATTAAAATTCTTGGAATGACATTTTGAACTAAGTCACTCACTTTCTTGAAACAAATCATCATATTTTTTCCTTTCAGCCTTTTCAACTATAGTAATTCTTTTATAAAAACCACTGATGTTATTATATTTTATTTTTAGAGTTAAAGAAAAACTCTGAAGATGTTGTTCCCTTTTCTCAAATCCAAATGAATTTTTTTGCATTAAAAGCAGTTGATAATCAAGTAGAATTAAAAACTTAATCTAGTTTCTTTAGCAATCAAGTTTACTCAACAATTAGGCTATTTAATCTAAATAACCACACCATAAAAACTTTATCATTTTAATCATATCTACTTGACTCAAGTAGAAATACAAACACAACATAGTTTCAACAAAGACAAATAAAAATACTCCAATATATTTTTAAATTTAATTCTCCAAGAAAACAATACAAACACTTGGTTGATTTAAAGATATGTTAATTTATATAATTTTTACTTAAATAAATCACTTCGCTTAATCGAAGGTCACGCCATTACTTGCGTAAACATACTTCCTCTTTTAAATATTGCCGTGTCCATTCAAAAAACGTTTATTTATTATGTTAAAAAAACGTTTTAAAAACGTTCATAAGCTAACTGAGAAATTTCGTAAGTTGTTAAAAAAAAAAACGCTAAAAAAACGTTTAAATTAACATTAAAAAAAACGTTTACAAAAAAGCGTTTAAAAAACGATTGTATTGGTTCTTTAAACGTCTGACTGTAAATTGAACGGAATTAAAACGTTTTAAAAACGTCCTGTGCTTACTGAGTCAGCGTTGCCAGATTTTTTTTGCGCTAAAATGCCAAATGCTTGTCTAAAAAATGCCAAATAATGCCAAATTTTTATTAATAATGCCAAAAAAAATGCCAACTTTTAAAATAGCAGAAAAACTTTATAAAAAAACATTGAACCTTATTTATTAACTATATATTCAATAAAACTATTTTAAAAGTCATATATTAATCAGTTTTAACATATTTTTTATATATTTTTCAATAAAAAAACGACGTTTAACATAGATTATTTATGTATTTATTAAATAGATAAGTATGTTCACTCAACTTTCAAATAAATATAAATCTAAAGTTAAAAAATATGATTTAAAGAAAATTTCAAATTCTGTTAAAAGAATTATAAAAAATGTCTCAATATCAAACTTCCTTTAGTTTAAATCATCAATTAGAGTGAGATCATCTTCGACTAATTTATCATCGTCAGAATACATGTCCGTTCCCAATTTAGTTAACATTTTGTCACTGATTTTAAAGTCTTTACAACATTTGTTGCGGCTAGCAAGGTAGGCTTTTACTCGCACTACACTGCTGAGCAATTTGTCTGACATTCTGTTTCTTGGTTTGTTTTTAACAAAGGTGACCTGAGAAAAAATATGTTCCACAAAAGCGTTTGATATAGGGAGAACAAGACAAGTTAGGCAATAGTCTGCTAGTTCCTTAAATGCTGCATCTCCTGATGTATTTTTGTAGTGGCGAACTGCAGTCCAGAACTCAGTTGTATCTTTTGGTATACAAGAATTTTCAAACAGCTCCGTAGAAGACCAGTCAACCAAACTTACTTTTCTGTACTGATCTTCAATGTTTTGCGCTTTATCCTTCATAATTGCCTTAAAGGCAGATGAGTGAATGGCATTTTAGAACTTTGATGCAGAACCTTTGATGGTGAGAGATAAGATAGACCTTGAAAAATTTCTTTGTTTTCAGGTAGACGTTGATCAAGCTCTTTCAAAAGACGCAAAAGAAATTGAAGACAACGTGTTAGAACACTTTCAATGTTTTTTCTGGCTATTTCTTTTTGGGTTTGAGGATAAGTATCAATATATATTTTGGCAATCTGATAAAAACTTTGCCCCAAAGTCAACACGTTTTAGAGGCAGTTGAACTCCTTGGTTGTCAAGAACACGCTGTTGTAGACTTTTGTAGTGTAGGTTTAGCTCTGAAACTAGCTTCTCAGGATCCACATTAGTGCTTTGAAAAAGAGCATTCAAACGCTCAAATTCTTGAACAATTGGTGTCAAAAAGACGACATAAAGATAGAGAGTTTCATCTTTGAACATGTTGTTAATTGTTGTAACTTTATACCTAATGCAAGCAGGAGCTTGAGCTTCAGCACATAAGAAATAGGCTTTTAATTCGTACCAATTCACCATCAAATTGTAAAGACATTTCCCTCTGACGAGCCATCGAGTAGCTGAATACTTTTGAAATGGTGATGGAGTTCCCATCCTTTCATTGCTTGGATCCATTGTCTGAAAAAGTACTTTAAAATCTTCTCGTCCAATAGAACTTTTTGAAAAAAATGAAGGAATTTCACTGAGCAGAAAGCCAACACTTGATGGCATTAATTCAAAGGAATGTTGAACAATGAGGTTCAAGGAGTGGCATGTACAGCGCATTAAAATACAATTAGGAGAGACTGCCCGAACACGAGACCAAACCGAATTGTGAAATCCAATGACATTTGAAGCTCCGTCTGAGCTATACCCAATGCAGTTTTTTAAAGACAATCCAACAGACGTCAACTTTGTTTCCAAAACAGCAAAAAGATCTGCACCAGTGGTTGATATCACAGCAGCTAAACCAAGAAAGTCATCGATAACTGATTTCTGTTAATCTGAATAGTATCGAGCACAAATGCAAAGATGTTTTGTCAAAGAAACATCAGTTGATTCATCAATCAGGATGGAAAAAGGTTTATCTGCGATTGATTCAGAAATTTCTGATTCGATTGATGAAGAAATTACATTTTTAATAATTTGGGTACATTTGGTTCGATGCAGACAAAGGTTTTCAAGGGGACTATTTTTTCCATGAGGAGAAATGATTTCTCCAAGGTGATTTATCGTTGAAATGGGTGCATGACAACACACGCAAAGAGCAAGATGAATATCTGCTTCACAGTCTGCTTTCTTTAATACTAAAGGAAACGTAATTTGGCTTTTTGTGTTAAGATGCTTTTCTCTTGAAGCATGTCTAAAAGTACCACTGTGCTGTTCTACAGACGATTTCCGTGGTTGTATAGTCACACGACAAAGGGTACAGAATGCTGATTCAGTACCATCAGAGCTTTTTTTAAGCCAAGGATAATCCGCTTCCCATTTTTCAAGGTACTTTCTTGAATTTACCCTCGACATTGTGCTTAATGTTCTAATACAAATTAAATACAAACCAACTGAAAAAAAAATCAATTCAACAGTTTTTTTAAAAATGCCAAAAAAATGCCAAAATGCCAAAATAATGCCAAAATGCCAAAAAATGCCAACATGTTAAAATAATGCCAATTTTACTAAATTTGGCATTAAAAAATGCCAGTTGGCAACACTGTACTGGGTTGCTACTACTCAACAAAATAAAGTCTAAAAATAATATATTAAAGTTACATCATAAATTACAATTTTATGGTATATTAAGTCTATATGCGTAATAAGACATTAAAATATTGATAACAGCATTTTTCGCATATCTTTCTAAAATAAATCGTTTACTCATTATAAAAAGTTAAAATACCAATTACAAAATTTTTAGCAGATTTTTCTTTGATTGGCACACAGGCATCAGCTTTCTACGAGCCATTGTAACGCTTATGAACCCGTATCTTTTTTCGGTACCACACACCGACATTGAAGCCCTGGTGACATCTTTCACAATGCGTTCAATAGATTGACCGTGAATAGGGAAGTTTGGTACAATCATTGGATTACTAATAAACTCTATAATATCATCTTTAATCAAACAACATAAATAGGAGGAGATCAGTAAACTAATTTACTTTTTCCATATTGATTAAATCTATTAGCCTATTTGATTCAGTGTTTGTCACTGGTAATTTTCTATTTCTGCATTTTCTGTCTCCAACATCCTTATTTTTTCTAACATCAATTATCTTCTACCATTTAAAGAAATCAAAATATAACCTTTTTTAATATTGGTTGAATCTCTTCCAATTGCAACTAATTGGTTTTCAACGCTATGTACTACTATCCAATCATACAGTTGTTCAGTAGTATGTTCAGCAGGTGTTTGAGTTTCTCTCTCCTCTAAATAATTTACAAAGCAGAATAAATATTTTACACCAGGTTCAGAACAGTCACTATAATGATATTTTTTGATCTCCCAAGGGTAAGGTTTACAATCATTGCCATATACAACTGTTTTTGTAAGGTCTTTTCTACCGTCGAACATTATACATTGTATGCCCTCTTCCTTTACTTCATTGTTATACTTCTCTTTACAGACGTTCATTACTCTTTGCTTTGACCTCTCAAATTTTTTTGATCTAGAGCTAGGCTTTTATCAGGTATATGATCTTTCAAAAAATCTGTATCTTTGGCTGCTTTAAAGGTTGTAGTGCCTATTGATGCAGTTGCTCTCTTACTTGTACCAAATTGTAATGCCAACAAAGCAATATGATTTACATATAAGGTATTTAGCTGAGAAACCTTTTGTGTTTCTGGTAAATAAATATTGTCATTATAATCATTCTCAGCATGGTCTGATTCCACATCATTTTAAAATAATACATCAGAATACTGTACAGTCTCGATTCTAATTCTCTTTGATTTGTTCTGCTTCCTTTGACGATATTATTTTTTGTCGGGATACTTCTTTTTTATTAACTGAATCTGTTTGCTTTTCACTTTTAGAACCAATTTTATCCCTCTGTGAGTTTAAAAAATTAAATTCAATAATACGAATTTTATTTTTTTACTCTCCAGTTCCTAATAAACGTCCCCCCCCCCCCGTTTATTAATTTTTGGATATTTTCCCCACCCACCCTAAGCTTATTAAGACCCCCCCCCCGTTTATTAATTTTTAATTGTTATCAACAAAAAAGTATATATCTCAAAAGTAAAAAAGAAAAATCAGTGAAAATCGGCCTTAAAAATTTGAAAGTAATTTTCAGTCATCGATAAAAACAAAGACTTTCAGTGTAAACAGGTTTTACAATTTGTCGACCTATTAAATCTCGATTTGCTAAAAATGAACTTTAAGTTTTTTAAATTTCAGAAAAAATATCCCCCCCCTCCTCTATTAAAACCCTTCCGTTTATTAGATTTTGACTAAAATTCCCACCCACCCGTTTATTCCCACCCCCCGTTGTATTCGGAAAGTACGTTTGTAAACTATATGTTGCAGCCATATTAATCGGATTCTTCGCATGATTTTATCAAACATTTACACTTAGCTATGCCAAACATTTATTTAAGATTAATTTATGATTAAAAAGTTGCTTAGATGTTCCCCTACCTAACGCCAGATTATGTGCTTTTTTCCAGTCATATATTTTTTTATTTCTTTTCCTCTTTTATCAGAAATAATTAGGGTATATCTTATACCCTAATTGTGGGTTAGCTTTTTACCATAAATATTTTACTGAGCTCAATAGTTTTTTAGAAGTTAGCCTTAAATTTTGCTAGTTTTCCACAATCCTTCTAAAAAAGAGAATCTTAAAAAATCTCTTAAATTTGGTAGTTCTGACTCTTATAACGTTTTTCCTGT